TTTATCTATCATTAAAAAGCAATACTGTTTTTCTCCAAGAGTTTAGTCAGAGCCCATTTTTGGTAGGAATACCTATCCAGCTACATCATCCTAAGGTATTGAACAGGGCTTTCCTACAGCATCTACATGCCCTAATTCCACATAGTCCTTTCCCTCTAAAAGCAGCAATTCCCTCTGTTACAACACCACTGAGCACTGTTCTACCATAAGGGTTATGGAAATCAAAGCTTCTGTTTGCTCATTGGGTCAGTAACAGCACATTTTCTCCATGAACAATACTTACTTCCCCACCCAATGCAGGTGACATGACCTCCCTCCCCATAAGAGGGCCATAGAAAGTCTTGCCACCAATTGAGCCTACACAGATCTTCTGACAAGACTTGTCTGCTGGCCCTCAGCACAACCATATGTTTTACCTCCCAGGAGCCTTCCTCCAGGTGAAAGGTTTCATCCTTGGTCCTAAAAGGTTAAAATTGTGTAAGATGTCTTAACTTCATTAACACCAAGGAGCAAATCTAATGCCAGTTGTCACTAGCTCATTTCTGGGACGCCTGATGTTCTGAGCATCAGAGCTGCTAAATATCAACTACTTTTTAAAGTGTATTTCAAGCTGGGAAGTCAGAAGCAGAAGACCCTAAAATTGCTTTTGTTCCTGGCTTCAGTTGCTCAGGGTTGTGCATAGGTGCAAGCACTCAGAGTTAACCCTTTGCTGTGTAGTATACTTTGGACAGTTTCCAGAAGCCATTTTATTCACAGGGTCACTTCACTGCCATGCTAGTGTTAGATGCATACACCACACTTTCAAAACAGGGTTGCGCTTCTCAGTAGTTGCTTTCCTCACTTTCAAGCAGATGCTGTTTGCAGAGCTCAGAACTACTTAATTCCTCTGGTGCATGAGCCATCATCTCCACATGGTACACCTGCCATCTCAGAGAAGTGACATTCTTGCTTCCTTCCAGCTTCTCCCTGCCTTGAATGGACAACAGAGGTACCCTCTGTAGGGCCAGGAGAGGGACATGGCAATGAACTCTTTAAACTCCCTCCACTGGAGCAAGAGCTTCTCTCAGTGACTAGACACACTGGAGAGAGCCACGACCACCTCCTCCAGCTACCCCAGGGCCCCTGTGGAGACAACTGGCGTCCCAATGGCATTGGCCAGGGATGCATCTGAGCCAAAACATGGAGCAGAGTGCTCATTAATGACAAAAGCAGTGCCTTTTCTGCTCACTCAGCATTCATGAGCAGCTCCATCCCTCACACACCTCTGAGCATCGTCACTGTTTCTGCATTCTGATTTGATCACAAACATCCAGAACCAGAGCTCTGCTGCTGAGCCACTGCTGCTCACGTAGTCTTTGATATCTCTCCTCCTAGCACATACAATAGTAAATCCAAAGCTCGAGAACTCTGCAATTTCCTTTCTACCTGCTTTTTTATCTATATATTTGTTTAAATTTCACATTTAATATTGTTAATAAAATTAACCTTTAAAAATCCAGTGGGTTTGCCACCTGTGGAAAACAAACTTTGCCATACTTGTGCACAAAGGGGATCAGAATGTAACTGCCCTGAATCTGTTCCAAATTGCAACATGAATTGACAGAAAACTTGTTGCTATTTCCATGCTCTCCACGCAGGACAATGTCTTTGTTTTGTTATTTTCATCCCTTATTGCAGCATGAAAAACCTTTTAGAGATATGCAGTATAATTATAGCATTTGCCAGATCTAGATGCATACCAAGCTATCTGCAAGAGGGAAATACTGGGCTGCTCCAGAAGTCTCTGCCACAGGAGCCACCTATGCTTGCCCTCAGGTCACATACATATTTCTCTGCTTCCCTCAGCTTTCTAGGAGGAATCTCTTTGAATCTGTGAAAACAAAGGATAGGTTGCACCATGCAAGTTGTGTCAGGTTAGGTCAAGCAGGAGCCATCAGTGCACTTGGGAAAAGCCAGTGTGTGGCCGAGCATAGTGCTGGGGTTTATTGCTCAGCTGTGCCAGGAAAGTGTGTGCCCAGCATGGGAAGGCGCTGCCCCTGCTCCTGGGGCCACCATCACATCCCAGGGGGTCCCACAGTGCACCAGGAACCAGCACATTTACCTGCACCTGGTTGCACCTGCTGAGACCACTGGGTCTCAGAGCATCCCCCCCTGCCCCAAGCAGTTCCTGCCACAGAGAGGAACAGCCACTGATTTTGCAAGAAATAAAAACCCTAAAACCAGTCTGGGGTGAGGAGGGTTGCCATGTGGCTGAAAATGTCACTCAGTTCATAAAAACTAACTTGAAATTTTTAGATCTTTGCCTTGTCTTATTTCGCTTGGTGTTTGGTATTGAAAGAATGGAGAAGGCAGAGATGAAAAGCCACAGAAAATGGTAATTTACCGCCATCCTTGCAAAAGCTTCTTTAATACCAACAAATGAATTCTGTTTTCATTGATATTTTTCCCACATAAAGATCCCTTTCATTCTCCTTAGAAATCTGTCTTTTCCAACTGGAGGGAAGAGCTTTGCAGCGTAAAAACTGTAGCCAGTAAAAATGAGAAAGCAAAAAAAAAGGCAATGGGGAAAACAGGTTTCTTGCACGGTAGAGACAGCCTCTACCTTCACTGTTAACATTTTGCCAGGCTAGTCTTGGGGTGGGGGGTAAATTGATCTAACAGAATTTCAAGGGTGCAGTACTCCTGAAGAAAATACAATTTTCTGTAGCTATGACAGTGATGAGAGATGGAATTTGAGAGTAGGACAGGTCAATAATGTGGACAAAGCCACAACTGGGAGAGGGAGAGGCAAGAGGAACGAGCTGATCTCTGAGGGGGCTGAAGGACTGTGCCCTGAGAAACCACAACATCCAGACTGGTAAACGGTTGCACAAGGTCTTGAAGGTAAAATTAAGCGCAAAACAAACAGTCTGCAAAAGAAAAAGCAGAGGAAAGGGTGTGAGAGGGGAGCATTGTTAGCCTGAGCAAAGGAGAAGGATGGTTATTCACTAGCTGTGCTTGGCTGACATGGAGCAGGGCGATGTCAGAGGCTGGATGGGTGCAGGGGAGCAGAGCTTGTGATCAGCAGGCAGGGAACGCAGCGTTGAAAAGGATGGATCACTCCAGGGCAATGGCCTATACTTGCTTCATTATTTAAAAGTAGTCTGAGGCAGGTAATTACTCATGAATCTGACCACGAGGTATTTAGCAGTTGAACCACAGAAGAAACTGCACGCACAGGCTACCTCTGCCTGGCAGGAGGCATAAGTTGATGATTAATACAGCTTAAGTCATTTACAGCTCACCTCTCCATGGGTCTGTTTTCCTTAAGGAATAGGTCTGCCACGTACAGCTCAGCTCCTGCCAGCTTAGGGATGCTGTAAAATCATGCCCATACCTCGCAAGGCCATCCAGGAACCAGGCAGAATGGCAGTCCCTCACCCAAAGACATCAGTCACTCCCATTCAGCCACTCATTGTTGTGTCCCAGCAAGGCTGAACAAGAGGTGGGTGCTGCACCCTTGGGGATCCCCAGAACCCATGAGTCAGGGGCTGTTGCCTGGAAGAAGTGCTGCACCCTGAGGTAGCATGGGCTTTGCTTCTCTTAGGGATGGGAAAGGAGAAGGCATGGTCATGCCAGCCCAAAGTCACAACCCTGCAAAATGGTGCAGCCTATTTGCGCATGTTGGCTTCTCAGCATGAACCTGGGGGGGGGCAGAGCTCAGCAATAACTTCTTTTTCAGATGTACTTTGCCTTTTGTGACAACAGGAGGCTTAGTTTTGAACAACACTATGAAAACAGTGAGATAGATGGAAGTATTAGCTCATACTCAATCCCATGACCGACCTGTCTTTCATGTCCTCTTACTGTTCTGGTAGAAGCCTACAAGAATACAGTACACATGTTTTCCAACTCAATAGCAGGTATCCAGCTGCAGAAATGTGTTTCCCTGAATTATGGCCGTATGCTATATATCCCACTTCAACATATCATATCATGTTCCATCTGCACAGAATTTGACACTGCATAAAACAATCTGCTTTGAATTTGAATGCATATACTTCCTCGCACAAAACAAAACCCTCTTGCTAAGCTATGAGCCCAAATGCCCTGGAGTTTCTGGTGAAACTTGTGCCACAAGCAGAAAAGACCTGAACCAAAGTTATAGGAGGAGGAGACATCACTACTGGGCTATGTCACCTGAAATAAATTCCGCATTTGCACCAAAGAGTTTGTCCTTGGTTGCTAAGAGTGGACAGAGCAGAACCCAGAACAAGAGATACAAGCAGACATGCTAGGACTATGAAGCTGTACAAAGCATGCTATATATGAGTACAGCATTTGGGCTTTCTCTAGGCTGCTATAGCCCTTTCACATCTTTAATGGTGAAAACACTGAAACAGCTAAAGCACTGAGAAGTATAGTAAAATACAGAACATTTTCATGCAAGCTTCCCCTTGCATAGGACAACTGCTATGACAAGTCAACCAGGCAATGCTTTCAAATTGTTTGCCACACTTCTAATGGCCCCAAGGTGATCCCATCTGCCCCAACCTCTCAGGCATTCATCCTCTCCTAAGGAGGCCCATTCCACCTTAGAAAGAAACGTGAAGTCAGAAATACTTGTGAATTCCTTAAATGATGAACACTCCTTATTTCCTCATTCTCTCTCAAAACCTTTCTTTTGGACTTGCTGTAGCTACTTTTCATTTGATGGCTCTGCTGCCTGTTTCATCAATGATGAATTTGTTTGCACTGCCACCCAGCAGACCAGCCTTTGGCAGAGGTACATCCCAGGTTAAACAGTTTTTTAGACTCTAGCCTAAAAGAACAGAAGGAACCAGCAACTGGCCAATAGTGAAGAGTCTGTACAACCTTGATGCCATTAATGAAAAGAGTCTGCTCATAGGGTATTGACAAAAAGGGACGTTTTACAGAATTCCAGTTCTGGATGGTGGTAGTCATTATTTGACTTTAAATTAACAGAATAAAGCAACTAATATTTGGGAGCCTGTGTCATATTGGATGCTGATCTTCTCCGCTAATGAAAGACACATGTGAAGGGGCTGATTACCAGGTACACTGTATTTAGTTCACTAAATACATGGGCCTGCAGACACATCCCAGAATTACCTTCCCTCAGATTTGCAAGGTTTCTGGTTCAAGATGGAACAGAGCTTTCTATTGCTTGTATCTGGTTGATCACAATAAGGACCAAAACTCCTCTCCAGAGATCCTCATCTGAACCAAAATGAGTAGTAAATGACAAACAGAACAGCAATGGCAGATTAAAACTCTTGACACAAAACCCAGTTGCTGAAAAGTATTTGGGAATCAGCTGCAGGACACAGCAGTGCTGGCTGCAAAATATCTACTGGGAAGTGGAAATAACTGGTTTTAGGCAGATTGAGGTTTTGGACTTTGCTGGCCAGCATTGGCATCTACAGGAGATCATGCCTGGAGAATTCACAGAAGCCCATCAAAACAGCACATTGTTGTCATGCCATGAGCCATTGTCTGGTTTATGATGGCAACAAGAGACTCTCATCCAGCACAGGACTCCACTGGAGTGAGAGCAAACAAAGGGTCTCTCTCATTCTGAAGCATTCAGCTGACTGTATTAAACTGAATGCCTTTAAAGTTATGGGAGACATTTATTCCACTCTGCTCAATCCTAATGACATCCCAGCAGGACTACTGCCCAGTTTAGGTGCCACAATAGGCATTGCAATAAATCCTCCTTTTCCTATTTTAAGAGCAAAATTCAGGCTTGTATTTCTCAAGGGAGTTAATTGCAGATGAGTGCATAACAGTTTTTAGGAGTACCACGGCATCCAATTCTCCTCAGTCTCAGGCAGTTTGTGATGAAAAGAACTCATTCACTGTGTGCGCTCCATGCAGAGTCCCTGGGAGCTCCACTTCTTCCTCTTTTGATAGCAAGGAACCAAGCAAGGCCCATCCTGGTAGATGTATTTGAAAATGTTTCTCAGATAATAGAAAGAAAGAAAACATAGAAGGCCTGGTCTGTGGACCACGAGCTGTCCAGTCTTACATACTCATCTGTCATGCCTAGATATATTTAGGTCCCAGGCCTTACTAGTCAGTTTGTGATCAGCGGACTACCAATGGTCCAGAAGACATCAGAAAATGATCTGCAAAAATATAATCCCTAAAACCAGACACAGAACTTTGCCTGAACCCCCATTAAAGCACCATGGAGTATTTCTGGCACCTAATATCCCAGTTGTTATATTCTGAAATATCCTGGGCAACACTATCACTTATTATGTCATATTCAGCAATCATTCCAGTTTCTTTCTTGCAGAACCATTAATGTAGCCAGATTTACATCTTATGCTTGAGGTTATCCTTCCTCAGGTGTAGTATTTTGCATTTGTTGATATTGCATTTCATTGTACTTATGTCAAGCTGCTCTTTCAATGTAGCAAGATCATTTGGAAACCCATTTTCTTAAGTGCTTGAGTTACATTTCACTCTTATCAAAGCAGAACATTAGACCATTTGGATATGATTTGTTCTGGATAAATTCATGCTGGATGATTTTATCACCTTCTCATTCTGCAGTAGCCATTATATGAAGTACTTGAATATTCTGCAGTAGTTCTCAAAGTATTTGAGATATCTGAGGCAGGTTGGCTGATATGTAATTTTTGGTGCCCTTAATTCTTCTGTGTGTTCTTACATACACTCATTAATATTTCATAAATCATTGTGGTTAGTTCTTTAATTATGTCAGATCAAATGTCCCCAGGACTTCCTGCTGTATTCAAACATTCCTTCTTTTCTGGGGCCTGCATTTCAGTTCCTTTGCTAGCTCTAAATGTGTTCAGCCTCTCACATCAGGTGTTCTCTACTTGCAAAGAAGCTGTTTCACACTTCAGCCCGCTCTGTTATTCGTCCTTTGTTTACCATCTCTATGAAGTGATAATTCTTTTCTTTCTTCTTACTTATTTTTCTGGTCCCTTTTGCATTCTATATACTTCAGCCCTTCTCTTTTACTTTTCCTAATACAGTGTCTTTGCTCACTTTTTTGTAATGGGTTTTTGATGAAAAGTTTAACCAAGTGGCTCCCGACTCAGACCCCCTGATTTCTTCCAATGCTGTCCTCCTTGCCAGCAGGATAGCTTCCTATGGGACCTTTAAATAAGGACTTCCTCCAAACTGCCTGTTTCCTTAAGCTCCTTTTGGTTCCTCCCTGCAAACCTTCCCTATCAATTCCCCAACATGAGGAAGTCCGCCTTACAAGAGTCATTTCATCTTGCCCTCCTCCCCTCAAGCCTCCTTTTCCACAGATGTATGAGTTCAAATTGTCTTCTAGCAAGTTTCTCTTTATTAGCTATATCTATCATAGCTTATCTAGTCATGTCTCCTGTAACTGCCTCCACTCTTCAAAACAAAAAGTTGTTCCAACACATTCCAAAATCTTGAGGAACTGTCTGCGCTGTGCTGTTGGTTTGGGGGTTTTGTTGGGTTTTGTATGCTTGTTTGTTTTTCTTACAACAGATATCTGGTTATGTAAAGTCCTCTTTTACCACTACCTCACATCCTCAGGACACTCCCAGTAGTTGCTCAAAAAACACGACATTGGCCTCCTCCTCCTCATTAAGTAATCTTTAGAAGAGCTTTACAGTACCTCTCAATTTTAACTCAAACAGCTCTGTCTCTCCCCTTTCTGGCCTTCTACACATTCCCAATATACCAGATAATACTCTTCCTTTTTTTCCTGCCTGTCCTTCCTACACAAATTATGCTGTTTCTGCTAACGCTGAAGTGCTGCAATTTATTCCACTGAGTCTCTGTGATACTGATTAAACTGTAGCTTTTGTTGTGTCCCAAGATCTCCAGTTCTTCCTGTTTATTCTCCATACTCTCAGCATTAGTGCAAAGACATCTCAGATGTTTGGCAGTGTGCCCTTATGTTATCCCTTTTGCTCTTCTATGGCCCTCCTGCAATTTCCCACTTCCACTGCAGAAATGAGTTGTCCACCGGTCCTTCAGTTTTCTTATTCACCTGAGGTCTTTCCTGCTCACCCAATTGAAAACTGGTGTCCTTGGAGTCTTCTTACTAATTCGTCTCTAGTACTAAAGCTCTCATGTTCTGAAAAACAATGTTTCTTTAGTGATTAGGCAATGCTTCATAGAAATTATCATAAAGGTCTTTTCCAACACAAATGATTTGGTGATTCTATGGAGATTCTTCTAAGGGTCTTCACAAAAAATGGTGCAGAAAGTTGTTACTAAGAAAGTGGTCTTGTGGGATAGAAGTCCCCGGTCCAATTTCAGGCTTCTCAGTTTCAGAGAGAGGGCTGACAGCATTCACGGTTTAAACAAATACTAGATTTGTCAAAATGCTAGCACATAGGCAAATATAGGATCCAATACTCTGTGTCAGGCTGATGTGCAAAATTAACTCTGGTTAAAACCTTGGGAGCACCTTTTCTAATTCCCAGCAGTATGATACACTAAATAGGAATGTATATTGACTACAACAGTGGTACTTTTCAAGGCTGCAGTCATCAAGGAATAGGGAGACGATGAGCACAGCAGGCACAATATGTTGACTCTCGTCCCTCACAATTATGAACAGCTGGAACATCCTCAGTTTACAACAGGTCTGACGCTGCAAAGAAACAAGAACAAATATTTGGAAATGTGATCGTATAATATAGCTCAATGCTGACAAAAGACCCCACTCAAGGGGAGGATACTGCTTTATAGCACATGGCTCCTATGTGAGGGAACAAATTACATGCTATTGAAATCTGCTGTCCTGCTGCGCAGCATCTGAATGATTGACAAAGGTGAAGTTCAGCCACTCGACTTCCTTACAGCTTCAGATGTCCTTCTGAAGCAAAGAGGTTATGAAGGCAGATGTTTCATGCAATGTGATCAACTCTGTCTCTCAGGTGATATTTAAGGTTAAACATTGAGGTGTTAAAAATAAACATGATTAATTCATACATTTCAGTAAACAAACCAACCTCTCATCTGTGTGCAGGTAATAAAGAAGATTGGATCTACTCTTCATGGGGGAAGTTCCAGCATTTTACCACAAAATTCATTTTCACAAATATACCTCTCCCATAAATCAATCAATGTAAGAGGGAGTCTGTGGTCCAAAAAGAAGCAGTATTTACAAACCTAGGGCTTAAACTCCACACTACCTTTTTTTCATTCTCATATTCAGAATTTAATTGTTCCAATGTATATCTATACGTCAAAGAGGAGCCGGTGGTTTTCTTGCATTTGAGCAACACAGCCAATGGGACGGATGAACTGTGTAATGTCTTTTGATACATACCACACCATGAGCTAGACTGACTTCAGCTGACTTCTCTCTGCTGGTGTCTATTCCCACTACTTTATAGATTCTGCTCCCTCTTCTGGCCAGCAGCATAACAAAAGAAATCATTTCCCCTTTTTAAATATGATTTCGAGCATGGGGAGTTGAGAAATGGAGAAGAAAATTCATATTACTTTGGCAGGACAGGGAGATCTGAGCTGTGCATCCGCTGAATTTCCATATTTGGGTTTCTCTGTAACAAAGGCTCGCAGTATTTGTGGTAAAAGCTGAAAAAATAATTACTGCTATTTTTCATTCAGTTTACTAGTTAGCTCTTGGGGGCAGGGTGAGAGAAAGAAAAGGAGGTGCAAGCAAGGAAAGACCATCCATCAGCTTTGCTGTATCTTTCCACTTCTCCTTCTCAGCACTGTACCGCTCATTCTCAGTTTTGTACAAAAGAATACTGCAGACCTAAAAAAGGAAATGAGCGGAGATCCCATCTTTAGGAAGAGCAGACTTGCCAAAACGGGCTCAGATAATGTTATATTAGCTGTAGCATACAGAGCACACATTCAGAAAGCCAGTGTTCCCTCTCTTTCAGTAAGTAAAATCCAAAAGGTTTGCCTCCAAAGCAGGTAATGCAGATGCTGACTATTTTTGCCTTTCTTCAGCTCTCTCACTGCCCTTAAAACATTAACAAGTACAGATCAGACATTTGGGACAAACTGCTTTTAAACCTTTTCTGGCCATTAAAGAGGTCACCAAAAAATCAGCTAATGTAGGAGAAGATACAAACTGCTCTGTACTGTATATCCAAGACAGCAATGTCTTCTCTGTTGCCTCTCTGAGAACCTTCTTTCAGGAGAGATTTCTTAGGCCTCCCACAGTTGAACTTTGTTTGATGACGTTCCCCAAAGCCACATCTGAGGCAGAGCAGAACGGGTGGCTCAGTGACAGACCAGCTTGCTACCAAGCGTGCAATGTACAGTCTTGCAATAGAAGGGACGCTGGTTTTTACATGGAAAGGAAATTGCATTGAAAATCTCAGTGCATGGTTTTAGCCAAAGCATTGTCTGTACAAGTGATAATTCATTTGCTCACTAGGCAGCAAACTAAAACGATGATTCACTCAGTGGTCATTTCCAGTGGATGGCGTCTTATGGATCCTGATTACCATTCCTCAGAGAGCACACTGCAGCCTGTTGGGCATCATTTGCCCACTGCTTTCCTTCGTAAAGAGAGAGGGAGCTTCATCCATAGCAGAAGACTGAACCAGTGTGGTCAGAGCAGCAACCAAAGTTCACACCACTCCAAACAGTAAACCCAGCTTTAAAACTAAAGCTGTTTTTAAAGCTGTGGTTTCTGACTCTATTAGTCATGAACTTGAAACACTATTAAGTATTAAAAAGAAATATTCCTCTGGCAATTGTACCAGCTCTAAAGCTGGAGTCTTCTACAGGTCTCTCAGCTGCTGCTATTCAAACACTCGGGCATGATTCTGCAATCCTTTGTTCAAGCAGCAGTCCAAGGGGGTGAAAGCTGGCCAGGGAAAAATGTGATCAGATCTTGTGATAAGGTTAAAAAAATTCCACTTTCTATGAAAAGAACCTTGTTTTCAACACATTCCACAAGGTGAGCATCTCTTTCAGCCCTTCTGCATATAAGATGAGGCACTTTCTTTTCCAAGAGCCCCCACACTGCCTACACCACCTTCTCCACAAGCATTGCTGTGAGAGAAGAGGGGAATCCTTCTCTTACTGAAACAGCTACTTATTTAATAGTTCTTCATTATCTAAGAGATAGCCAAGAAATATTTAATAAATATATTACCCATTGCAATAAAATAAATATCATTTATAAAACATTCATTGTCTTTTGCTCATCAACATCATACAGTGTATATAAACGTACCCGGTACAGATGAGATTTACAAAGGTTTGTCTGAATTTTTCCCCTTAATGCGTTCTCCCATTTATAGTAATCATTGCATGAAATGCAGACAAACATAATGCAGCTCTGAGCCACCAGCATATACCAAAGACGAAACTAAAGATCTTGTGAGAGTACAAAAAGTCTTCAGATAGGAGGAATGGTTTCAGGTACATCTCTAAGTGGCACTTGCTCCAACTCAATTCTGCAGCATTTGTAGAACTGGAGCTAATGTTTACTTAAGAACTCAGCATTACTTAACCAAATAATAAAACATATAAAAGCAAGCTGACTTTTTGGAAAAAGAAATGTTTAATAATACAGTAATAGTTGTAGTACCGTCCAGTAAAGTTGTATTGTAAAAATGTTCTGAATATTAATTTACCTCAGATAACTTTAGAGTTGTAAATACTTGCATTATAGTGAGGTAGACAGTAAAAAAAAAGTTCTTTTTTCCATTATTAGCACAGAACTTAAATCTTGTAATAATATCTTAAGGAAATGATAATGTTAAGTAAGGATGAAATATTTGATTAATGCTTAATTCTGTACAACTCAAATATAAACTTTTAAAAATATTAGAAATTATAACATTTCGAGTGCATATAATGTTTTGTACATTAAAAAAAAATGCATGTTGTTCATCTCCATTTTGCACTTTTCAGTCTGTTTAAATAAACAAATATTTACAACTTTTATATGAACAACAGTGCATCCAAAGCAAAATGTGCATTTTAAATTATTGCTCCTGGTCGAGTCTTTTTATTAGCATTTTATATTATTATTCTCTTCTCTTTTTTTAATCTTTTTTTTTTTCACCAGCTCTGCAAAACCAAATAAGACGACTCTAAAACTCAGTGGGGAAAAGCCTGAAACTACGAACATAACAGTTACATTAAGAAAGGGCTAGGCGTGCTTCGAAGTGCACTTTCCTCAGGTGAAGCAGCAGCTGAGACCAAAGGCGGGAAAGAAACAGGAATCTTACTTAGAACGCCTTTTCAAGCACACCATTCGCGTATAATACTGCTGCAGGTTGCGAGGGCTGCCGAGCTAGAGCTACTTAGAGACCTGGCAATGGCATCCTTGCGCTGTTCCTGAAATTCGAGGGAGTTTCCTTTCCATTCACCCAGGTTGTGCTTTCTGTAACACTTCGCTCTTCACAGTTTTTCATTGCTGTCTTAAAATAAAACCTAACTGGTAATTACAATCTTGAGCTTTTTTTTTGTTTTTTAACTTTTCTCTTTTTTTTTTTTTTTCCTTTGGGGGTGGGGGCCGGAGGCTATTTCTGGCTGGTAAGCTTGCAGGAATGTGAAAGAGGGCAGAAATGAAGCAGCCCTCTTCAGAGCAACTTCAGAGAGAGGGCTCGGTCTGCTCCCTCTCCCTCCCCCGACTCTTTTTGTACTCGTTAAATTGCCTTCACCTTTGGAGGGAAGAGGACAGATCGCCAGATAAACCCCGGGAGAGGGAAGGAGGGAGGGAGAGAGGGGGAAAGAGAGGGGGAAAGAGGGGAAGGGACCCGGCGGGGCCTGGCCGCCTGCCCTGCCCTCTCTCCCTTCCCCGCACGGCAGTCAAGGGCAGGCGCTGCCCGACGCCCGCCGCCCGCGGGAACCGGCGCCCGCCCTTCCCCTACGCGCCGAGCCCGCTCCGGGCGGGCGCGGGCCGTCCCCGCTCGCCACCGCCGGCGCTTCTCTGCCAGATGCAGCCCCGAGGGGTGTCCCGCCCGCTACCTGCAGCCGCAGGACTCCACCACCATGTCCTCGTACTGCTTGTACACCACGTTGTTGCCCGCGTCGATGTAGAGGATGCTGATGGGAGTCAATTTAGTGGGGACGCAGCAACTGGGCGGCGTGGAGCTGGGGTCCATGGAGTTCATGAGGGTCTGAATGATGGCGTGGTTCGTGGGCTCCAGGTGGGAGCGCAGTGGGAAGTCGCAGACCCCCTCGCAGTGGTGGGCCTCGTACTCCAGCGGGGCGATAATCCAGTCGTCCCAGCCCAGCTCCTTGAAGTTGACGTGCAGTGGCTTCTTGCTGCAGCGCAGGCGGGACTTCTTGCCGTGCCGCTTCCCGTGCCGGCTGGCGAAGGCGGTGCGCCGCTGGCGCCGGGGCGGCGGCCGGCGGACAGCAGGCGGCGGCGGCGAGCCCAGCTCGGCGCGCAGCTCCCCGAGCAGGCTGGGCCGCCGGGCGCGGGTGAAGACCACCAGCAGCGCCCGCTCCTGCGGCGGTCGCGGCCGGCGCCCGAATCCCAGGCCCCGCAGGTCCAGCCAGCGCGGCGGCCCGCGGCCCGCCGAGGCCCGCAGCTCCAGGCACAGCCGCTTCGACGGCCGCTGCTCCCGCAGGCCTTGCCGCACGTCGAAGACCTCCCAGTCGGCGGCCGGGGCCGCCCGCGGGTCCAGGGCGCGAGAGTCCAGAGGCCGTGGCGACAGGCAGGGGAAGAGCTGCATATGTACCAGGGCGGCGGGCGGCGGGCGGGCGCGGGACGCCCGGCGGAAGAGCCGCACCTCGGCCCCCACCAGCTCCTCCGTCTCCGAGAGGGTCGATACATCAAACACATACTGCTGCCGCCTCAAGGGAGCGGGCGAGAGATCGTCTGCGAGATAAAAAATAATTACAGTCAGTTGCGCTCAGGGGGGATCTGCCGAGAGGTCTCCGAGGGCAGCTCCTGCCCGCCAACCCCCTGGCCACCCGCCGGGCCCGCTCCGGTCTGGTACCCGGGCCTCCACTGGGAGCCAGGGCTGAGCTGGTCGTGGGGGAGGGAGGGGAAAAGGAGAAAGAAGGAGGAGAAGGAGGAATTCAGAGAAAAGAATGAGATGGAAGAATCAAGAGAAAATAAAAATGAGAAGAAGAAAGTGGAAGAAGGAAGGATAACAAGAACACTGAGAACAAGAAGGAAGAAAAAAAAAGGATGAGAAAAATGAGAAGAGGAAAAATGAAGAAGAAGAAAAGGAAGAAGATGGAAGAGAGAGGAGGTATGGAAGGACCCGCACCAAATATAAGACCATTCTCCCACACCAGAAGCAGCCCCTGCTCCACGCACATCTTCTGCCCATCAGCCCTGCCACCAGTGTGGGACCGTCAGTGTTTGTGTGCTTGTGTACATTACGCACACACATATATATACACATATATATTCTCGTCCAAGAGAAAAACCTGGACTTCTTTTTTGACACATTGGTGTGCGCGGTGCAGAGCAGAAAGCAAACCAGATTCCCCTGAGCTGCTTTCCCATAAAATGTTTATAACCCAGCAAATACAAGAATTCCCAAAGCCCCTGGGTTTCCCCAGAAGCTAGTAAAGCTTGTGTAGATCTCAATAGTAAAAGTGTCAGTGGAGCCTCTGTTCAGCAGCCCATGGCCGCTTTTCCAAGCTCAGCCCGCTCCAGGGGTAGAAACGGAGACTAAAGCCCTCTGTTATTTATTGATATCAAAGGTCATTGCGATTTTAATCACTGTATTGCACAACTTCGGTTCTACCTGACATATCTGGAGGAACCTCCTGCGGGGCAGGAGGAACAGGGGTACGATTTATGCAAACCAAGACCTTCAGATGCGCCACGGCAATGTAAAAATTAATGTGCTTCAGAGCAGAATAGCATGCTCGAAAGTCCGCTGCGTTCCCCCACACGCCAAGAGGGAGATGCAGAGTGGAGTGCAGCAGTGCCAGGGGGAATTGCTGGGCAAAAGACCTGCCCTGCAGCCAGGCCACAGGACCCAAGGGGGAGCCCGTCCGCCGGCCAAGAGCAACCCCCTGCCCGCGCAGCTCCCCCTGACCCTGCCACACCGGGCACTCCGGCTGCAGAGCTAGGTGCCCGTCGGGCCCCTTGCCCTGTCCGCGAGGCGAGGAGGCCGGAGCACGACCTCGGTCCCCACCTCTCCCCAGAGGGTCGTTTCGGAAGACTGGCAGGAGCCGGACCCTTACGGAGGGGCCGGAGCACCCCCCTCAGCCACCAGGTCCTGAAAATGGGTCAGACGCTCCAGGCATCCCGGGCCTGCCGCATCCCGGCCTCCGCCTCCCGCCTCTGGATGGGCGATTTCCTTCCCCGGCGAGAAGCGCAGAGCCGGGAGCGGGAGGCAGCCCGCCGGCCGCTCATCCCTCCCGCGGGGCGCGGAGGGAGTCTGTAAGAAACATACACACAACCCGAAAAATGTCACAGCCGCAGGTGACGACAGCAGCTGCTCTATCGAGCTGCTGGAAAGAAAACTGAAATCCAGAGAGAGCTGCCCAAAAGAGCTGGACGATCTCGGCAGTGCTGCAAGGATGAAGTAGGGCTTGGCCCATGGGTCGGTTGTGGATTTGAGAGTGTTTCCCCCTTGCACATGCTTGGGCCAGTAGGCCCGGGGGCTGGGTTGCGAGAGAGGTGGATCCGGGAACTCAGGAGAGCTCTGAAGCCATTGCCTCCTTCTTCGAGGGAGTCCCGGGCAGAACTGGGGGATTCAAAAAGAAGAGATATGAATCCCTCGGGCAAGAACGTTCGGGTCCCCTTCTTCCTTCTCCTCGCCTTTGGTTTTCCCTGTGCCCAGCGTCTGTCAGATGCCCGGGTATCTGACATGGTGCAGACGGGTCTCCTGGATCCTCAATCTGTATCCCGCCTTCCTCCAACGGCTCCAGCGACCGTCGAAGAAACCAGATCAGCGCCTATGCCCTGCTTTGGGATGTGGGCAGAGACGGGCCTGGGCGCAGCTCCACTTTTAAACCATCTCTTTTCTGGAGAGAGACGGGGGGCGTCAGGCTTGGTTTCAAAGAAAGATGCTCGCCCGCTTTGCTTCTCTCTGTCGTGATGCGGTGGAGGTGGGGTAGCGCTGCCTCCAGCCCACTGTCCCTCCGGGGCAGACACCACTCCTCCTCTCCTCCCCGTCCTACTCCCAGCCTGTGCCCCGACCGTGGGGACCCCGAATTCCTGCCAGGGTGCAGGAACAGGGTCACTTTCGGGGAAAAAAAAAAGGACAGCCCTTTCCCGGGGGATAGGGGGACACAGAGGTAGCAGCGAGCCCCCCACCGAGCTCCCCAGGCCGGTGGCTGTGAGGCGGCCCCTTCAGGGGTGACATCTCGGCGTGCGGGTTAGAAGGGAGGGAGGCGGGGAGACGCTGAACTCCCCTGGGTCCCGCTGCTGAAGCGGTTTATAAAAGGTCTGCAGACACCTGTCATGCGTCGGAAAGGAAGGCTGGGAGAGGGGGGACGGAAAGAACCAGCTCCGGTCCTGCGGGTGCCAAGGGCTTGCTCAGCGGGTACGCCTACAGCGCTCTCCCCAGCAGCATCCTACGAATCTCCAGCTTGGCGAAGGTTGAAAGAGTCGCACGACGACTCCGGCTGGCTCGGTGGCATGGCACGCTGGGGACACAGCAGAATGGCAGAGAAATGTGACCCCGGGCAAGCGGGTCCCCAGGCTGGGTTCAGGCAGCACGACTCTGCGCTGGAAAACTCCCTCTGCAGCTGCCGGCTCCCGCTTCTCTCTCCGAAAAAGGGGCAGGGCTGACGGTTGTTTCAAATAAGCAGCTTTGAATCCGATCAGATAAAAGCTATTTATTCACTCTCGTAACTTAATAATTCCAGATGAATACATAATCCTAAACCAGTACTGGCTAGCTCCCAGCGCCGTCGAGAGGGTGGGAAAAGCAGTGGAGGGCGGGGAGGGAAAACGGTACCTCCGGAGCTCCGCAAGCCGGAGAAAGCTCGGTCTGGTTTGGGAACCCTTTGTTCCAGCCAAGCTGCCTCTCTCCACGCATACAAAGAACGACAGCGGCGGTAGGGTGGGGGATACCCGGACTGTTCCCTCCTCTGCGTGAGACGAGCACACAGGCATGGGGGCTTGTTCACTTCAGTTTTGCTTTAGATCCAAGGAGCGGCTGGGGCGAAACCCGGGGCTTCTCACAGCCAGTTCGAGATCTGCCTTTCTCTCGGGCCAGTTGAGGCTGTCATTACCGTTATTCCCGTTACCGAAATACTCGGAGAGAGCAGCAAAGTCATGTTACATCCAGCCTGGCTGAAGAAAGGCACATTGCGGGAAATGCACCAGAGAGGTGTGTTTATATTTGTAACGTTAATTTAGATGAATGTTAGTTATGCTGTAAGCATTAGTTTTATTTCGACTCTCCGTTTATTTTTTTCGGGAGAAGATAAAACACTGGGAGTTGGACGGAGCGGGAGAAGAAGGGGGTATATCTATCTGGAGTTTCAACGTGTGTCAGCGGTGGATGACGAGGGCAGCCCTGCTCCGCTCTGCCCTTCCAAAAGCTTCCGGGCAGCCAGCGAGACCTGCGCAACGCGAGCAGAGCCGGACCAAGCCGAGCCGAGGCTCCCCTTTCTTCCGCCTCTCGCCTTCTTTCCCCCGCTTCCCTCCGCTGTGCGGTGGCGGCGGGTTCATCATTTCACGGTAAATGAGTGGCTTGGCTGGTACGTTTCCCTGTGCAAAGCCTCTCCTTCTGCCCGGGCTTCGTTTCTCGCTGGCAGCCGGGGCTTTGAGGCGAGCGGGGGGTTAACGAAGGCTACACAAAGTTTCCCTTTTCATGGCAGATCAGGTACTGGGCTCCCTGCCAATTCATCAGGGCTCAGATCTTAACTTTACATCACTGCAAATTATACCCAAACCACATTGAAGAAGAATTTTCCCATTCCCAAATTCTTTTTCAAGCCATATTTAAACTCGCAAACCAAAAGCACATTTTCAGTTTAAAGACCCTTCGCAGGCGCTCGCTCAACAATAATCTGGAAATTAAAACATATATCCCCGCTAATTGAGAGGGGCTTCCCACACGTTGTCTGCAGAGTCACAGGGTTGACAGGTATCTCTTTCGGAGCATTACCCGTGCTGTGGAAGCGGGGGACAGACTCTCCATGTGTGGTATTTCTCTGGGTTTCAGTTCCGCATCTCCCAGCGCCTGCCTCGTCGCGGTTTTTTATTACACAGAGTGATTAGATGTAAACGTTTCGTTCTCCTCCCTATCGAGTAACCGGGAAAGACCACACCTTCCTCGGACGCCTTCCCAACCCTGCCAAAACCCCAGCGGGCTGCTGGAGGGCTCCTTCCATCATTATTTTCTTTTGCTTTAAATTCTTTTCCCGACGGAGCGGGGAGGCACCTGGCTGCGATACACCTTTGATCACCGCTTCCCCGTCCCTGCGCGGCAGGCTGCCTGCCCTTGCCCAGCTCCCGCTGCCTCCGACGGCTGCTTCTTCCCGCTGCTTCCCCGGTACCCGCAAGCGACCCTCGGCCCTCCGGTGCAGAGGAGCCGTGGCAACATCCGCGGACATCCCGCGGGTTCCGGGCCCCTCATCTGTCCTCATCCCTTTGGGAGACACGCCGAGGCGGAGAGGGGCTTCCCTAGAGAGATTTTACCTGCTTTAACAGATACTAACCGAGTCCTCTTCTCTTTCCCCGTTTGCGGCGGTTTCACTACCTGAAATATTTCTATCGAGGAGAAATCATTCCTGCAAAATTATTCTTATTGAGAAAATCGGACTGAATATTCCCACTCCTCAGAGCTAAGAAATGGAGTGAGGGGACTCTTTGGAGGATATTTCTGAGCGACGTGTGTGGAATACAGCACACAACACGCAGATCTAGCCACAACTAGCAAGGACTGAAAAGTCCCCTTTCGCTCATAAACCAGACTTCGTGCACGGAAGGACGCTCAACCTCAGTTCCAGCCTGAACCGAAATCTCGAGGAAAGGAGCATTTCTGTGATTAGCTGCTTTTCTTTTTTATAGGACTACGAAGCAAGGAGGAGAACAAGTCTGGCGAGTGAAAGTCCAGGGCCGGGCTGGCTCAGGGTGGCTGCTCGGCTCCCGGTCGGGATCAGCACAGGCTGCGGCACAGCATCGCCCCGCGGGCGGCTGAAGCTTAACAACTGCGAAGGGGAAAGCTTGGTCCTACTGTCCTCAAAACCAACCAACCAATCCAAAATTAAATACTGCTAATAAAAAAATTAAACACGATCTTTCAGCAAGCCCCGCAGAGGGGCTCCTGGATTTAAAAAGTCAAATTAAAAAATCAGGATCGGGTCCCAAAAGAGCCACCGCAATGGCTTGAGAGGCTTTAGTGACTCCTTTTCGTTAGCAGAGCGGCTCCGCGGCAGCGCACAGCCCACCGAGCTCCGCGGCCTGCGTCCTCCAGCGCTCTGCCTGTCCCCGACCGCTCTCCCCACTGTGCAACCCCCGCACAAAAGAACCCAAACAAAATAATAACCACACCCCACCCCCTCCCGAAAACCCCGGTACTGAACGGGGAGAGACGAGGGGCCGCGGCTCCCGTTCCTCCCGCGCTTCTCCGCTCCCTCCCGCGTCGCGGGGAATGAAACCCCAAAGACCCTCAAGATCCCCCCCGGCGCAGCAGCACGGAGCCGCAGCCCGCTCTCCTCGCCGCCTGCCCCGCGCTGCCGGTTCCGCGGGCGCGGAAGCTCCGCTGGGCCGGGCCGGGCCGGGCCACTAGGTCTTTCCCCGGGCGCCTGGCGGGGATGAGAAGCGGCTGCTCGCTGCCGCGCTCCGGCCGTCTGGTCTGCATTAGTGTTTTTATAAGAGGCTCAAACAAATCGAATACAAGGTCACCAAATAATTAACAGTTGTGAATTCCCTCCTTCCCCATTAAAATACTTCCCTGCTTATATTTCATTTTCCTTCTGCCAACGACAACACTGCCTGGGCAAAGGCGCTGCGCAGATTACACTCCATTGCAGCTTTCGGTCCACCCAGAAACCCGCTGTTTTGCATAAACATGTTGCAGTAGATGAACTTCAAGTGGGATTTACTCTCTTTACTTCTGACACATGCACAGCCGGGCAGTCTCCAGCTTCTGCACACGGGATCCCCCTTTCGTCCTGCCCTCCCGTCCTCACCCCCTCCCGACCCTAATGGCAAGAGAGAAATAATGGCCGGACCCCTGCCCGTCTGAACCAGCTGCCTCTCGACTGGAACACGAAACGGCACAAAGAAAACGGGGATGGAAGAAGGAGACGGTCTAGACCCATTTCGAATTCCTCATCCCTTGGGTGCGGAGCTCAAAGGTCCGCACACATGAGCTTGGTGCGGTACCGCGGCTGCGGGCAGCTCCGCAGATGCAGAGGGCAAAGGCCCTTGAGGCATCTGCTTCCCACGGGAGATCCTTTTAAAAATCGCGCTCCTCGCACCCCGGCTATTTCTTTTTTTTTTTGTTTTTGGTTTGTCCCGAGCCGTGCCGTGTTTCTTGCTAGCTGTGGAGTTGCTTGTTTATAGGTCCATTCTCTTACTCTGTTTTCTCCCCCCCGCCTGGTGGAGTCCTTGCAGCTCCTAATTGTCCTGCCTTACTGTGGAGCTCCAATGCTGGGGGTCCTGAGGCCAGCGAGAGCACCATCTGCGTTTTAATGAGTTACTTCATGTGCCAACAGTAATTTTCCTACATTCAGCTAGGTCCTGTCTGATCTTGCGACCGTAACAAGGGGAAGCGAGTGGGGGGCGGGAGGGGGTGTAGAAGTGGGAATCGCAAATCCTTCTCCCCTTTCTGCGCCCTTTTTCTACCCATGGGGGGTGTAGGGAAATATATATATATATGTGTGTGTGTGTATGTATAACGCGGTAGTGAGGCTTTACTCTCTCTCGAGCTGCCCTGAAAGTGATCTTCCTAGCTCCAAGCGGGAAGGAAAGCAAGGAGCGGCGGGGAGTGGTGCCTGGCCGGGGCTGGTGCCCGCACCCTCCGCCACCGAGGGCACTGGGCCAGACTGTCCCGGGGCCGTCACGGACAGGAGCCGACGCCGCGTTACCTATCCCGTGGGATGCTCCCACGGACACGCAGGTACGGCAGCCCATGCCGTGCGGGAAAGGTATTTCTCGTCAGGCAGGACTAAAAGCTGCTCCGTGCTTCTCTCGGAGCTGCTCTCCCCCCCCAAATCCTGCTCTGAAGGATGCCGTGTGGGCTGGGCAGGGCAGGAGGGACGTCCACCGCCACCTCCCCCGGTCCTGCCGCTTAGGTAAAGAGCAGCCCATCTAATTGGGTTAATTTGGTCGGCTATATTGTCTGCAAATTAATTGACAGAAACTCCCCCTCCCTTTTCCCGCTTTCCCTGAGCAAAGGCTGTTCATCATCAGCACAACTCCAGCTCGCCAATTAACTGGGCTAGGAGCCCACGGGGAGGTGGGCAGTAAAATAGCTACCACTTCAGAGGAACGGAAGCTGTCTTGAAGTTTTTTGGTGATGTGCCATTGGCTGGTCCGCTTCATTATGGGAGACTAGACAATATTTGATATGTTATGACATGAACACTCAATTAGATCACTGAGTTGAAATACTCCAATCAGTGGCTCGATGCTAAGCAACCCTCAGAAGGTCCAGCAGAAGGTCACAGTCTGTGACACATCAAATCAAAATCAATGGGGAAAAGTGAGGCTTTTCCTTAATCAAACCAGGACTCCTGTTAGCAAATCACTTCCCCCGGAGTAGAATCTCCCATGCAGCGAGATGAGCTAAATTTGTTAAATTAACTGTCTTTCTTCTCGTTATCAAGAATAAGATGATCTTGAGCGCGGCTCTAGTTCCCCGCGGATTTCAGAATTAGCACCCCTTTTCCTTTCCGGCGGAGAACGCGGGCCAGCTCCTTCTGACCGCTGAGCTTTGTAAACCCTGTTTCTAGAAATCGAGACCTCTTCCCCCACCCCTTCGTTTAACAGCAACGAAAAACAACAACCTCCACGCGGAGACAGCGGAAAGCGAATCCCCGTGCCTCTTTCCTCCAGGGGCGCTCCCGACCGCGAGCACCCACTGTGGGCGCTTCCACGCATCCTCCCGAGCCCCGACGGGCGCGACGGGCACCGGGGGTGGGTAGGGGGAGAGAGAGCCCAGCCGCGATCCCTCCGCGGCGAGGAACGGCCCCGAGCAGGGGATGGCCATGGGGCCGTGGGTCCGAGGAGGAGAGGGAAAGCTCCGGATGGGGGGGGGGGAAGGCAGAGGGGGGTGGTTGGGGTTCGGTTAGGGTAGCAAGCGGCTCCTGGAGTTAAGGGGAGCCGTGCGGTTTTCCCGGAGCTGCGTTTTGCCCTAAAACTGCTGGAAGAGGGGAGGTCGGTGTGCTCAACTCTCTGGGTCCCGGGGGGAAGCCGCTGCCAGCCGGCGGCAGGTACACGGGCAGGGTCTCGCTGGGGGCGGGCGGAGGGGTGGGTCTTCAGATATGGGAGAGGGGGAGAAGGAAAGAATGCATAGCACGCGTTGGGAACCTGTTAATTAGTCTGTCCTTAATGGCTCACAAACCAGGGTAATGAAAAAGAAATGAGGAAAAAAGAGGAAGGGAAATGTTCCTCCGGATCGCCGAGAAACCTTCACCCGCCGCCCCGGTACTAGCGATAAAACAAAGAGAGAAAAACAAAGCAGGACCCCGGCAGGGGCTGCAGGTCGCCGAGGGAGTCCCGGGAGCCCGCAGTACCGGTGCTGCCCCGCGAGAGTGGGGACAAGGCCTGGAGCCTGGCCTGTCCCGGGCTCTGCCGCCCTCCCCGTCCTCTGCCCCCCTCGGCGGGCCCGGGGAGCGGCCCCACTGCCGGTCCTGGACAGGACTGCTGCGGACCAGGCTCCCCCTGCTCAGCGGACGCAGGATACAGCCCCGAAGCAGACGGCGGGTCCGGGCAGCCCAGAGGAGCCCGGGGCGACGTTTACCTGGACTTCGGGCTGCCTCCCCGCAAGCGGAGCGGGCTACGTCCCAGCCCTAGTGCTTCCCAACGGGGCTGGTGCTCTTCCAGGTAAATCCGATAAAGCGACCCTAGGCGAGAGCAGCTTTAGGCAGCAAATGTTTGCCCTCGGTCAGTTTGAACTTTCTATTTGCCTTACAACCGCAGCGATAAGAGCGATCCTTTCTCCGACAGACTCAAAGAAACCAGAAGAGCGATTTTTCTTTTCTCCCCCGAAGTTGTATTTACACCCAAAACGCGCCTGCAAAGCTGGGGAGGGTTTCCCACCATCCTGTGACGACTCCGCGAGGAACACGCGTGTTTCTCGTATGCAGCATTTACGGCTGCCGCGGTGCGGGTGTAGCGCTGCGGGACAGTTCGCTGCGCTGCACCCGCACCGCGGGTTCGCCCTCAACTAAAACAACGCGATTCTGTGATCTACCGAAAGATCCACTTTTCTGCGATACCGAGGAGGCAGGAAACACCAGTGACCAGTGCAGCACGTTCCCCACCTCCCCAGGGCCAGACTCCGCGGGACGGGAGCCTCGCACTGCAGAACGCTGCGGGAAGGGGCGCACGTAGCCCCGGAGGGACGGTGAGGGGCATGAGGGAGGATAAGGGACAGAACTTACCTAGTCCCTTGTCTACAAAACTAGTGATGGTGTTGGCGGATTTGGACGACTGAAAAAAGCTGGCGTTGATGCCCAGTTTCTCTGCGATGGAGTAAGTCCTGAACAGAGACAGCATGTACTCGTGGGGTTCCGCCCGTGGGAACGCCCGGCCCACGGCGTGTCCGCCTTGCCGCGGGCGGTTCTCCCGTGGGGACCGCGGCACCCTGCGGCCCCGTCCGCCTTTGGAAGAGGCGGCGATCTCCGAGGCGGTGGGGAGGGAAGCCGGGAGGCAGCAAGGTAAATCCCAGAGGAGGCTGGCGAGCAAGGCGGCGGAGAGCAGGGCCCGGCGTGCATTCATAGCGAGAGGCGGCGGCGGTGGGGAGGAAGAGGAGGGCGGCCCGACGTGCGGCTCCGGCGGCCCACGGAGCAGCGCGGGGACTGCGCGGCGGCGCGGCGCGGAGCGGGGACTGCACCCGGGCGGGCTCGGCCCGGAGCAGCCCGCCCCGCCCCGTGGGTACCGCCCCGCCGCGGACCGCCCCGTGGGGGCACCCAGCCCGCCCCGCGGGGCGGGACACCCCGCTGACGGGTGCTCGGGGGTCCCTTTACTCCCTCCTCTATGCGTACTCCGCGTGGGAAGTGGACATGAGGGCTGGGGGGAGATGCTGCGTGTCTTGCTGCAGCCCGTCGGATACCGATCCTCGTCAACTGGCCGATGCTTTGGCATGTTCAGGTGTCCCTTGGGTGCTGCAGTGTCGGGTGAGGGCAGACTCACGCAATGCTAACGGTCTTGCTTGAGATCCTTCGTGTTCTCCCAGCTATGTGAGCAAGAACTTGCCACAAAGCACGGGTCTTGCAAGAAGGAGAATCTGGTGGAAAGCGGGGATCTCACCTTGGAATGCACTAGGGCCCAGTTAGTGGGCAGCCTTGGGACGGAGGCAGAGACCATTCTCATTCTCTCAAAATCTGCAAAGCCACCAAGAGGGGACCAGTCTGAGAGGAGCGCATTCCAGGCTGGGGCCTGGGAAAATGCAGCGCTGGGAAGACAGTGCTGGCAAGATAAGCAGAATGGGGCAGGCAGAAAAGTTCCTCAGAGCAGGGCACAATATCTTTCTTGCACTGGTCATGCAGAAGACAGCAGTGGAGCAGAAGCAGGATTCACCCACCCCTTTTCGTTTGGCTTTTCAGAGGTGCATCCTCTCATGTAAGACTGGTGTCATATCTCCAAACGGTTTCATCCAACCACCTATCTAGGGTTCACAGTCATGGGCAAAGCATGGTAAGAAGCTTGCGTTACCCTGCCTGTCCTGCTCCCTCCTTGCTTCTTCCAGACCTCCTCATCCTCCTTCTCCACTTGCTTTCTTCTGCTCTGTGCTGAGTTTCCCTCCTCTCCTGTCCTGATGTCCCATTCTCCACATCTTCCTACCTTTCCACTGGTGGATTTTCCTCTCATTCCACCAAGAGATGCTACAGCCTGAGAGCTGTGCAGTGAAAGCTCAGTCTATAGGAAATAATGGGCATCTGGCTTTCAGTCCATGTTGAATTTGACATCTCCTCTATCAACAGCTGTTCTTCATGTCATGATCATGCAGTCATCGGACTTTCTTGTCTTTTTCTTTCCCCTTCTCATCTTCCACCAAGAGAGGACAACTTATACCTGGGCTTTTGGCACAACTCCCGGTGCAACACAGACATCAGTCGGTGAGGCGGACACAGCTAGGGCATATGCAGCCAGCATCTAGCCTGGTAGGTCCCAGTTTTCTTATTGGGAGCTCAGTCCCACCCTGCTCCCCAGCTCCTGGGAAAAGATGCTAGGGGAGATGAGGAGCACGGTCAAAGTAAGTGAGGGACTCAGGTTCCAAGTGACCAAGGCTGCATTGCCACTACTGAAGGAGATTACTGTAAGGCGCTTCTCCACAACCCTCCACATATGGCTCTGTTGTGGTTTTGGCCCACATCAGCTAGCACTTTCCCAAACAGTGCCCAGGCCTGTTACAAGTTATGGCTTGTGCCAGGGGCTGTCCCTAGACAGCCATTTGGATGTGACCACATGGATGTGGGACACATGGTATAGCTTGGATTAGAGAAGAGGCCTAACATTGCCTTAGTTTCTTTTTTAGCAGGATAGATGTGCTGTGACATGCTGGCAGATGAACTGTGAAGAATCAGGGCTCCAAAAGAGTATCAGTGACAGTGCAGAAATGAGGCAAGTGTTCTGCAAAACCATTCCCACGTTGTTCCATACTGGTTTTTCACCCCCTTTTATTTATTGTCCCCTGGCTTCACAGCTGCCCTCCTGACCATTCCTCTCCCTTTTCATCAGCTGCTTTTCGCTCTGGGACCTTCCCCCGCCTTCTGTCCCTTCGGTTTCACTTTTCTGATGCCTCACCTTTGTTACTTCTGCTCCCCTTTGCCACTCCCATCCTTTCTGCTCTGTACTTAGCATTTTGGCTATTTTTTTCTTGCCATGACCCAGTTCCTTCTGGAGCTTTATCATCACTTTTTTTTTGTTTCCTTCTGCCCCTTTTGTGCCCTCTTCACTTATTCCATGCTCCTGCTTGCTATCTCTAATCAGCTGCCCAGCTCCAGTTTCTTCTCTGCCAACTTCTCCGCCAACCTTAGTTCCCCAGGCTCTTTCTTTTCTCCCCTGCTGCATTTCATTGTCCTATTTTCCTTTTCTGATATTGTTTTCACTTGCCACATCCCCTCCTTGTGGTCTCCAGTGCTGCTGCTGCACGGCTGCCCTTTCCCACTCCCACCCTGCTGATTTCCAGGGTCCCCCCACTGCTCCCAGAGTGTCTGTTCCCTTCCTGCCTTTGTCTCTCAGTCTGTCTCTCCTCTTCCCTCTTTGTTCTCAGCTTTTTCCTCCCTTGGCCTCCTCCTCTCCCAAGGGAAGGTGGCTTCATACTAATGCAAAGCTGCAAGGGTCGAGTGGTCTCAAGAGCAACTTCCATCAGCCCAATTTCATTTCTACCTGCTGCTTTTGCACATTTTAACTCATTCTCTGAAATTGACTCACATGGCTGCTTTCCACTCTTGATTCTCTATTGGGAGCCTGACTTGAAGCCTTCTGCAGTCAACAGGGCTTTCCCCTGGCTCCAGTGACCTTTCAGGCAGCACAGAGGGAAGCACATACCCCGTTGTTATCACCCCTAAACAGTGATGCGCACCAGATGATAGCTTACACAGCTGGCAGCAACAGCCATAAAATAGGCAGTGCTGCTCTCCTGACTGTTCCTGTGCTAGGCCCCATTGCTCAGGGTGTCCTTTGTCATTTCGGAAGACAATGCCATTGTTCAATACGGATAATTGCCAGGTTCATCACTTAAGGGAACGATGAAGTGTAGGGAACTGAGAAGATGTAGCAGTCATGGTGTCTTATGCAGCTACACAGTCAGATCACTGCAAGGGACTTGAATACATCAAACCATCTTCAGAAGTTTTGGTCTTGAGGGGCATTGGGAAAACTGTGTGGAAGCAGACCTGGGAACCACAGGCAGGAGCAGGCACCTCGCTAGGCAGCAGGACAATAAATCAGTGTCTGTGAAACATTTGGGATCCTGACTTCAGGGCTCAGCAAAGAGCGTAATAATGGCAGCAACAATAAGTAGAGTAAAATAATAGCCACCACCAGAAAAGAAGAATAGCATATTTTAAAATAATTTCCTTTCTGGTTTTCTTAACAATAAAAGTTGGCCAGATCTGTGGTCAGAATTGCATTATGAATATTTTGTAACTTTTTTTTTTTTTTTAAATTTCAAATGTGTTTCTCCAAACTAAAGCAATTTGGAGGCTGAAAAACTGCAGTTTTAAAACCAGTTTAATTTGTTTTCTTGCACTAGCACACACAGTTTTCACATCCTATGAATTTTTTCCTTTCTGTTAATTTTTTATTCTGGGAAAAAGAAAAATCATCAGAGGCAAGTTTGAAAGCCCAAATCAAATGTATTTCCCCCTCTCTTACCTCAGAAATTTAATGGGATAACCATAAAATGAGCAGCAATCTTGAGGACTAGTGTCAGAGGTTAAAATTCATCCCTGCACAAGTGGTCAAGCCAAGCTTAAGCATCGCTCATTTCACCTCTAGTTTGTGGCCTTTTGGAAGACTTACTGTTGTGCATAAGTGGTGTTATTAAAGAGCTGACCAGTTTGTAGACAATCCTTAATATCTTTAATATTTTTACAGCTATGTTGAGGCTATTTTCAACATGAGTGATCAATTGTAGGGTTTTTATTTCTGTGAAACAAAATCATTCTTTATTAAGTTGAGCAAAAAATGTACCCACTCAAAATATGAGCTTCTTCCCCTTTTACCACAAAAAGCTCCAAAAAGGCTGTGGTCACACCATGTAATTAGGGGGTAGGAAATCCTATTGGCAGAGCAGTTAGCACAACATTTTCTGAGATGCCCATGCATTCCATATGTGCTGGGTTTCAGCAGAACACCAGCCTCCACAACCCTTAGATTTGAAAATGTGACTTGTTTTTCAAAGGCCCCAAATCTGAGGCATTAAACTCCGATCACTTTTAGCTTCAGTGATTTAACACCTCTGCTTCCTTGCTGAATTACTTCTGAAAAGGTTGGGGTTTGGTGCTCCATACGAGCAGGAATGTTTGTTTTCAGAAGATAGTTTTTGACACAGGAGCTGCTTCCCTTTCCCCAGATGAACTTCCCTTCTGAGTAATGTTCTAGCTCCTCTCCCTGCCTCCTTCCCAGCTGGCTTGCCCTGCTCTCAGCTGAGAGCATCCTCGGGGACAAAGCACCAAGTTCCCTTCTCTGCTGTCTGCATCCTGGACCATCACATTGGCCAAATACAGATCTTTTTGTGCTTAATAGAGCAAACCATCATTTCTCAGCATATGTGTTTCATCCTGCCCACTCTCCAAACTGTTAACAGAAACCTCAAATGCCTAAGAAGACAAAGAATTTTAACTGTCAAAACTATGGTATGTGAACTAACAGGAGGTGAAGAAGCATACTCAAATAAATAGGGTTGTTTGAGGAGAATTTGAACCAGCTCCCACATTGTGGTCCTCCAAGGAAAGTTCTATTTTGCTTTCCGAGTGTCCTGCAAGGGATCTGTGCCTCTCCCCATGCCCCATGTCCGGGGGGGGGGGCTCTTCCAGGTGAGTCCCCCTCACTCCATCTTGGCTGAGGCTTGTGCAGCCCTACAGCATGGGGACAGGCTTTCCCATTTCTCTTCCTTTTGCTCCTGCTTTCGGCAGTTAGTCTTCTCGCAAGAAAAGTCAGGAGAAGTAGCAGGGCTAGCCCTATGCACCGCTGCTGCTTTTTACAGTGTTTCATTTTGCCACGAACCAGTGACGATGTTGCTTTTCTGCAAGCTCTCTGCATTTTTGTCACTGTCTTAGATTAGAACCATATTGTCTCTCACTCACAGTTAAAAACTTAATATATGGGCATGAAGAGTGAAGCCACTCCTGCATTCTTGGTGTATCAAAAC